GGGGGGGGGGGGGTAGAAGAGGGGTAAAGGGGATAGTGTACGCGATCGCACAGTTTCCTCTTATCGAAATGAATATTGTAATTTCCAACCGACTTTCCCTGGCGACGCAGGTTTTCCGTTTTTTCCCCCCCTCTCCCCCCTCTCGCTCGTTCCCTTTCTCCGTGTCCTCTCTTTTTCCCTCCCTTCTTTTATTTCCGTCGCGAGACCATGCCCGCTCGAGGATTTATGTCGCCGCTTCCTTCGGCCTGCGAGAGAATTTACGTGCGTACATACGTACGGGGCAGGAAGTCACGGATTCGCGGACCGCGGCGATTGGAGGAGACGCGCGCGCTCTACTTCCGGTCGGCGCTAATTTTCATCCAGCCCGCGCGGCAAATCCGAGGGGATTCGCGAATCACCCCCTCCTCCTTTCCCCCGAGTCATTCGAAATCATAACACGTGCTTTTTCGCGCGATTTGTATTTTTACGTTTGCGGGCTTCGCGTAGGAACGAACGGACGGGCGAACGAACGAGCGGGCATATACATACATGCATACATACCGGGGCGAATACATACGCCGGCCGGCCGGCCAGCCACGCGTCGCTATTTCCGAGCGGCAGCATTTTTCTGGAAGATTATTGGAAAAATGATGGCGGCGTTTTTCCAAGCGGCAAACATCTCTCCGCTTAGACCATCGCGTCCGATAAATTCGCAATGCCTCTCCGCGAGTTTTCTCAATTATGAATATACGTACGTGCATATCTGGAACCCGTCTCTTTCGTTCCCCCTCCCCTTTTCTCCCTTTCTCTCTCTCTCTCTCTCTCTCTCTCTCTCACTCGCTCGCTGTATCGATCTTTGTGTGTGCGCGTGTAGTCGCGCGATCTTTGTATCAATAGTACTTCCGTCACGTCAAACATCCTATATATATATATATATATATATCCGGTATATATGTATATATATATGCGCGTATATGTATATAGCGGGTAGTGTATCTTGCAGTATCTCGAAACTCCCGTAGTATTTGCGTCTACTTCGTGAAACTCGAGAAGATAGTAATTTCAAGCTCGTCGGCTTCGCGAGTGTTTATCCGGGAGCGCGGCGCCGCGCGCGGGACATACGTGGAATATTCATAACGCTCTTGCGTTACCACCTTCCTCCCGCTGTAAATGACTTGCAAATGTTTCGCTAATTACAAGAGAACCGGAGGCGCGCGCGCCCGGCTGATCAGCGATGCGAAACGAATCAGCGGCGGCGGAGAGCCGCGAAATCGCAAACGACCGCGTAGAGACTCTCTCAATTCTTCTCACCAGCTCGTTTTCGCTTTTATTGTTAAAGGCGGGAACTACGGCGCAGGAGGGAGGAGTGCGAGGCCTTCCTGAGGAGCAACGAGAGCTCTCCGGCGCCCTTCGATCCCGCCAGCAACCACGTCAACAGAGTGGCTCGGTTAATCTCGGACGGTCAAGGAGGTACGTTCTCTCGCAATTCCTCCGCGAGCTCCGATTCGTGAACTCGCGAAACTCATTTTGCCCGAGAATCCTCCGATGCGATCTTCTCTCGTATGCGCCTTACCGTTGCGATCGGAGCCACCTGTGCGCGTTTCGAGCCTGCTTACGTGTGTACACGGTCAAAAATGTTGTGTTAATCACGTTGACGCAAAATAAAATTTTGCATCCTAACTGAAATTGGTGTCACTTTAAGGTGAATATGTTAAAAAGTAACATGTTGACGAGGTAAATGCGTTAATTTAATGTACATTACTTTTAAACATATTTACAAACAATTTAAACATATATACAATCACCACGTTAAAGTAACGCAAAAGTTTCGGTGGGCCGCTTTTAACACGAAATTTCTCACTGCGTAAGGCTGAGAGTCGCGCAGGTAAACAACTTACACTGTGGAAAATAACCCGCAGGAAGAAATTGATTCATAATTCTCCTAGATACATAGGTTCCGATTAAAATATACGAAGTTGTTCCAAAATAAATTCACTTCACTACGATAGCAATCGGAAATCTCATTCTTGTTTCAAACATGGGATAAAGCTTCTTTTCCGCGATGCTGATTGGCTATAAGCTGCGTCTTGCTTTTTGCCGCCTGCGATGTTGTCATCGCCAGAGTCGATAGTTTGACCAAATATCGCATTAGAAAGTTAAGATAGCTGGACCTGTGACAATACCGTTAGAGAAATAATGGTTAATAGAACACGAAAAAGCTGGAAAAATGTGTGCTAAATATTTATGAACATGTTTTATTATATATAGCTTTGACGTTATAGCAAGAAAATGGTTAATAGAACACGAAAAAGCTGGAAAAATATGTGCTAAATATTTATAAACATGTTTTATTATATATAACTTTGACGCTATAGCAAGAAAATATTGCTCAAACAACATAATGTTTAAAAATTCATAAAAAACGAATTATTTTACGCGTTTGGACGAATAATATTTTTGACTGGGTCTCTCCATATTGGGCATATATTTAAAAATATGTCACCCAATAAGCAAGAAGTCATTAACACAACATTATTGCAATGATATTTTATAATATGTAACGTTTTCAATTATGCAGTTCTTAATTTTATGTATAACGTTACAACGTTAAGTTAACGATATTTGACGAGATGATAAAGATAACTAAGATAATTGAGTATAATAGAAGTAATTATATTTTAATTATTGATGTATTAGGTTGGTGCGTATGAAATGTCGGATTCTCTTTACATGCGGACGTTTTCCTCCCTGTTTTCGTTATACTTTTGTTTTTGGCATAACCTCATTCATACTCGTATTGTCCATTGCCAGAGACTCATTTCAACAAAATAGGTTTTCTCGAAGGTCTTCCCTTTTTTATTTCTTTTGAGTTTATTACCGATATGAATTCTGCCGACATTCGCGTCATTTTCTTATATGAGTACAAACTTGGTAATAGTGCTGCAAAAGCTGCACGCAACATAAACCAAGCGTTTGGGGAGAATACGGTTAACAATCGGAAAGTGCAGCGTTGGTTCGAAAAATTTCGGACTGGCGATTTTTCACTGCAAAATGAGCCGCGCGGAAGACCCAAAACGTCTGTGAATAATGATGACCTGAAGGCTCTAGTGGAAGCGGATCCAGCCGTATCCACGAGGGAACTTGCTATCAGGATGAAAGTTGACCATACAACGATATTGAGACACCAAATTGTACTCCCATCGCTTGTGAATCGGCATGGCCCGCTACTGCTCCATGACAACGCTCGGCCGCACACATCGCACAAAACAATTGCGAAACTGAACGAACTGGAATATGAAGTTTTGCAGCATCCACCATATTCACCGGATCTCTCGCCGACCGATTTTCATTTTTTCAAGCATTTAGAGCTGTTTTTAAGAGGCAAACACCATGAAAATGAAGACAGTCTAAAAAACTCGATATCAGAGTTTATTAATTCTAAAGACCAAAATTTTTTTAAGACAGGCATCTACGCTTTAAAATCTCGTTGGGAGAAGTGTATTGAAGCGAATGGAGCATACTTTGATTGAATAAACAGCTTTTGAAGAAAGATATACAGTTTTATACAATCACTTAAGAATCCGACATTTCATATGCACCAACCTAATATTTACTATTTTAAATTGTAATATTCGTTAAAGTAATTCATTAAAATAATTCATTAAAGTAACATTTATGAAAGTATTAACATTTATAACACCTTTTATTAAAATATAACATTTATTAAAATTATTCATATATATATATATATTTTTTTTTTTTAATAAAAAAATTAATTAAATAAGTAAAAAATTAACTTTTTCTAAATTCAAAATACAATTTTTCTCTAAAAAATTCTGAATATAAATGAAGCAGTTGGTTTCTAAGCACAAACAATAAAGTTAAAACAAAAGTTTTAAAAACAAATGATAGAAAAAGCAATTTTTTCTTCATTTGCTTATTATTTTTCGTTTTCCATTTAAAACCATAATAGTAATTACGCTAGAATTAAAAACGTAACATCGGAAGCCGTTTTTATATCTGTGATACGTGTAATTAGTAATTAATTACAGTAATTAATGCTAAGTATTACTTCAATTATCTCAGTTTCGGTTAATCTCATTCCAATTTTGCATGTATGTAGATTAGTATGTTACGATTAATATGTTGTTAACATTTGAAAAGATTCCTAAAGAATTAATTACGGCTAAGAATTAATAAGAAGAATTAATTTACAGACTCACTTAATAAAAAAACGAGTTTATATTAATATTCTTATATTTTTACATTTTTTTATTAATATATTTAATAGCACGCATGTAACGTATATGAACGTATCTGTAAATTATAAATATTTAATGTTTCGTATATTTTGTTTAATCGTAATGTAAGATAATAAATCTTTGGAAAAATGTTGGGGATGACCAAATAGGATCTGTTTATGTTTCTCCACTTCGCAACATCGAATGAAACATTACAATTCTAACCACAGTCGGCGTAGAATTCCCATCTATAATCCATCGTTATTTTAGGAAATCAGATTAGATTCCACCTAGGTCCCACAAATTGTCTTTGCGGGAAAAACATCAATTTTATATCCCAGAAAATCAACTTGAAATTTTAAGAAAAAGTAACTCATTCGTCGGGTATTACTTGATAAACTTAAATG